CAAAGATGTTGAACAGTACCGGTCCCTGGGGGACACTGTTCATCATTTGCAGAAGGCTGTCCTGAACAGCACTGAGCATCCACAGCTTCCCCTTGCTGCTGAGAGAACTGCAGGCAGGAGCTTGATTTTCCTGCATCCCTCTGCCTGAACCACTCACAGGATCCCAGGCAGAACAAAGGGGAACAAAGAGATGATAGGGCATGCACAACAGGGACACTGCTCACTGTTCAGGGACCAGTGTAACCTCCCTCAGGAGCCCCAGGAGATTTCCCACTTGTCCTGCTATTGCTGCTGTATCTGGGACTGTTATCTTGCTCCACAGGAAGAGCTTGATTTTTTTTTTCCTGCAGCTTTTTGAACCTTCTCTTGCATTTATTTTTACTCAACAAAAAAGCTTGCTCCCTCATCTCTCCCCTTCTTTCCATCCCCAAGAATTCAGGCCTTTAAACAATGACCTCAGCTGCCCTCCCTGCCACACGTGCATCTGCCTCAGCTGCTACGCTTCCGATGCTGCCAGAGTGCCACTGGGGCTTCAGCCAACAGGGAGAAGTGGCCTTTCAAAGGCAAACAGCTTCATTTGCTAGGCAGACCCCCCCCCTCCTTTCACAGCCAGCTTCAAAAGCATCCCATAATTATTTCATGGGAAGCAGCCTTTAAGCCTGTCTCATCAGGAAATGTTACAGGGAAGCAGAGATGTAACAGAGTCAGACATCCCCTTCCTCTGGCTCATCTCAGAGGGCACCTCAGTGCCTCCCAGGCCTGTCCCTCTAGGTTTTGCCTATATTAGGGTTTAGGCTGTGGCTGACACTTCCAAGGTTTGGGGGAGAGGAAGACAAAATGGGTGGAAATCCCCTGCTCTCTGCATAAACACATGGTCAGCTATGACCTCCTACCTGAGCACCCCCACAGCAGGGTCCAGGCTCAGGAGTGTGGCTGTCTTAGAAGGTCCCAAGGAGGTCAGTGTTTCTGCAGGGCTCAGAGGAAACACCCCGAGACAGGACTGCTTTCCAGAGTCACTACCGCTATCCACAGGCTACAGGAGTCTGGAGAGACCAACCTCATACCAGGAGGACAAGAAACCATCCTGCACACTTCCCTTCTCTCCTGACTTTAGGAACCAACACATACGTAAGGGAGGGCAGAGTCTCTGACACTTCTTTTAATGTCCTCATGGTAAGAAGATGTGCACAGCTGTACTGAGACACAAGGCTGCCTTATCCCACTGCCAGAGGCCCTTCTGTCCTGCTGCCTTAACAGGCATTCAACTTTTCAGAAACAGTAAGTCTGCTGAAGTTTGTACAAGTTTCCTCCCGGTACTGACCCCAAGTCCTAGTATGTGATATTGGCAGTTCTATTAGCATATATCACTCACATACCCATGTACAAGTTGTCCTCTGCAGGATCATCAAGGACCTGTAATTGATAACAGAGATAAAGGAAGAGGAGAAAAACAGCAGGAAAAAAAGAAGATACTTTGAATCAAGTAACATTTTACTGCTCCCTGTACACTGTGCTGAGAGCTGCAGAGCACTGAGAACATCTTAGGATAATGTTTAGAGATTCCTGTAAAAAGAAGGGCTTTGAAGGACACAGATTTTCCCATCTTCAGAAAAATCTGGGCTTCTGCCTGTATTTGGAGAAACAGCCTACCAATAAAGGCACTGCTTGTCCTAATCTGACCTCGGTCAACACCAAAAGTGGCACTGAAGCCTTGCACTCATGCACCTTTCCAGGCTTGCCTACACACATTTCACTGGTCAAAGCTTGCTGCTGGGCACCAGCCCAAAGCCCAGGGAAAGTATGTCAGTTTGTCATACATGATTGATATGATCTTGCTTGGAATCACCATTTCTGAACATTCAATTTCCAAGCAACTATTTTAAGCCAATTGGGGCTGAAGTAGAAGCAACTGAAGAAAGATCCTCTTGCTGCAATACTAACCAGACTTGTTTCAATATAGCTTCAGGTAAAGAAGTAGCTCACCTCTATCAGCTTAACAATGTTGATATGGTCCAGTTTCTTTAAGATGGCTATTTCCTGATAGACTCTGTCCAGCGGTGCCATGGGCTTCGGCTGCTCTCCGGAGGATGCTTTCGACCCTCTGGGAGGAGGCCGACCTGCAATTGTGATAACATTGTAAGGAAAAACTCACTTTCCAGCAGCACCCAGCATGCAGGAGTGAGCAGCCACTCGGTTGCTCTGCAGATACCTCCAGCTATTCTGGAAGATCTCATCACAGCATTATCATCCCAAAACACTAGTCTCCACCCAAACCAGAGATTTCCAAGCCCCATTCAGACCAGCTCCTGCTGGCCTCCCAGCCTGCTCTGTTTGGCAGATCCCATGGCCCAGCCACTGGAGCCAGGCGCCTTCCGAGGGGGTAGAAAAGTCCCTGGGAGGAAAGGGTCTACCTTGCCTAACTTTCAGCACTTAGTTAGGCTTTACAGATGGTGAACATGGAAGACTCAGTACTTCAAAGTGACCCAGAAAAATCAAAGCCAGGAAACTAATTTCCAAGTGTGTCAAATTCTCCTGTGTTTGTGCCTGCTCCTTCACCACCCACTGCATTTTCACTGCCCACTTGGGCAGCTTTCAAATGAAGCCAAGTTCCACAGTTCTTGCAGACAACATTTCTACAGAGAGATTTGCCTGGCTGAGGACAAATCTAAATGTGAGATACCCACGTGGAAACCCATATTGCTTCAAGAGCTTCTTTTTGGAGAGGACTTTCATAGCCTAAGAGAAGAAGAAAAAGCAGTGTTAAAACTGAACAAGAACCCACATGCTTATTGCTGTGACCTGGGAGTATGCTGGACATTAGGGACTGGCTCAGGTCTCTCCTCAACCTAAAGAGGTCTTCTGGTTAGTAACCATGAGACACACAAACACGCTGACACGAGCTTTCCTAAAGGCACTGCTCACCATTTGTTTCATTCATCTTTTTCCCATGAAAAAATAAATGGTTTTGATTTATCTTAAATTGGAAAAAGAAGAGGGAGTCAAAGTTCTGCATCTGGGGAAGGAGCTTGAAGCAAGAGCTGGGTTCTTCTAGCTGACCTTTAAGTACCTGTTGTTTTGGATCATGTTATGGCCATGCATGCAACTCAGAGCCACTTCAAGGCTGTTCCACCTTGTGCTTTACTTTGCCAGCAGGTCTAGGAAGGAAAAGAGCTGTGTGTCATGGCCATACTGCTAACACCCTCTCAACCTCCATCACAGGTCAGGGTGAGGACACAGCCTTGCCACCAACTCTGCACTCCCTTGGGAGGCCTTTTATATTCCCAGAGACTGTTTTTGCCCCATAAACCAATTCCATGCTGCTAGAGCAATATAGAGGACATGCAGTGTGATCCAGCACCATGTCCAAGACTATGAGCGAGATATTTTGCGGGTATCCAAACTTGCATCATCAGAAGTGGTAAAACCAGCTCTGCGCAAGAGCACAGCCAAAACACGGGGAAAGAGCCAGGATTTGGCCAGCAGCTCCCCATTCTCCTTGCACATGATCTTGTGCTGGCACTACTGCGAACCCCGACAGCTGAGGTGTGGGAGTGGGGCAGGGTAATTTTTTCTGCCATCCAATTGGCATTAGCATAATGACAAAGGGCAATCTGAATTTAATAAACAGTCTCTGCAGCTCCATCTGCTCTATACATTAACAAATTTTTTGAGGGCCACTCAAACAGCCCTGAGCAGCCAGCAGATAAGTATTTCATGAGAAGTCAGCTCATGGTACAATTTGTGTAGGAAAACTCTATGCTCCCAGGAGCTGGAATGGTCAATTGCTTCATCCCCTAGAACAGGTAGTTACTCCCATTAAGCATCCAAATCTGTAATTCACACTGGAGTGACCCCTGCAAAATATAATTAACCAAAGACTCCCACAGGACACAGTCAAATGCCAAGGAATTTTGCATTAATACCAGAGGCAGGTTCTGCATGTTACTTGTTTTTACACAAATACCAAGAACAGGTCACAGGCCATTTCGGCGAGCCACTTCCCAAGCTGTTTCTTCTGGCAGCGATGCCACCACACGCCCCAGGATCCCCATCCTCCCAGCAGTGCTCCTACTGCAGACAGGTTCGCACCTCGCTGATAGGATTGTTATTTTTGGTACTGATCCAGTGAAATCCTCTGGATTTGCATCCATGTAATTGATAAGAGACACTGTGTAGTTCTCAATCCTGCCTGACAGCTCCTGAGCCAACTGTTGGAAATGATGGTGTTGAGAGACAGTCTCAGAAGTGCTTATCTTTTACTTAGCACAGCGCTGTGTCCAATACAGTTAATGATTCATGGTCTGCTGAAAGAGGATCTAAGGTGTGCACAACCACCTCTGAGGATGGCCAGGACCAAGCGTCTGGGGACTTCCTACAGTCCTCACTTTTATCTCTTCATAATGAAAATTTATGAGGAAAAAATCCAAAGGTTTTCATACACCTATTTTTCTTTCAACCAGTGTCCCAGCCTGGGAGAAGGCTCCCTATCTGTCAGTCCCACCTTGAGTCCTCTCTGCCTTCTGCCTTTAGAAAGAGAAGAAATAGAAGATGCAGTTGCTGCTGAAAGCTCCCAAGTTGCACCAATGCTTGGGAAACCCAGTCTGAGAAACTGAACCACTGTCACCAGCAGTGCCCATATCAGAGCAGTCCTTCCTGGGGCAGGCTCTGGGGAGAGGATAGAGGGAGCAGAAAGGTGCAGAGAGCATTGACAGCAAAGACAAGAATTGCTCTCAGGGACAGAAATGGAGAGAACACCCACTGCTGTCACCCAGACTCCTTGGGGGTTGCTATGAGGGGCAATGAGGAGATGAGTAGGGGTTACTGTATTGTACATGACCTGACTGCCACCTCTCCTGCCATGGAAGAAGCACCAGCATGCTTACACCAGCTCCAAAGCACCAATATCTGCTACTACTACACATGCAGCGCTGGATCAGAAGAAAGGATCTGTCCCCACTGCACTTTCAAACACAGAGGGATAAAGAGCAAGCTTCATTATGTAACAGGCCAGAGCCACTTAATTATCACAAGAGCAGAGACGAGAGCACATGGCAGTGCAGCCTTACTTTAATTACAGCCTGAGCTGGCAGGGCAAGGTTTTCTCCCTGAATTGTAGCTGCACATAATGGCAGCAACACAGGGATCCTTCAGCAAACCTTTCCTTCCAGGCTCACACGCATGAAAGAGCCAAAGACATTTGTACTTGCAGGCAGAGCTAATTACCCAGATAATGCCTTTCTGATAAAGAACCAGCTCAGAGTCAAGCCAAGGGATTTTCCCTTTGCACTGGCAAGCATTGCTTCAGCTTCCTCTGGAAAAGACGAAGCCCAAAGGAGATTTTGTCCACCCATGTCCTTGTACCCACCTTCCTTCCAACTATTCACATTTCCTTTGGTGTACATTTACTATCTAAGTTTACTGCATTCCTTCTAGCAACCTTGCAGCTGGAAGCCACAGGGAAGCAGCTTCATAAGGATGCCTGAGGGAAAGGAGATCCCAGGTTTATGGAGAGAAGGGATGCTTGGGACACAGCAGCTTTCACAGCAGCAAGGCCTCCAGCCCACATCCTGCTGCTGGTGACGACAATAGCAAAACAGCCATATTTAGGGGAGGAAAGAGTCATAAAATTGGATCAAGCCAAGGGAACTTACCACCTTGTGATGCTCTCACAGCACTTAGGATGTTGTTTTCTTTGGTAACAGAGGGACTTGCATTGTGAGGGACTCAAATCCATGCAAGAGCATAAGATCTGCATACAGTTCCTACCCACAGCTTCCAGGGCAGGGGGATGTTGCTCAAGGGTCACTACTAACCACCTAAATCCTCCACTAGTGAGAGACAGTGCCCTGCGGAAGGGCTGAGCAGACCAGAGAGCATTTCCAGCCCTTTCTCACCTCTCCTATCTGACAACAACATCCCTCAGAGAAAGTGGTTCAGAGGGAACCTCTGCCGAGAGAGAGGAGTACTACACACCGAAAGAAAAATCCCAAACCAGACAGGCTCAGCTGCCATGCTCCTAAAATCCTGCATTTGTCACCTTTGTCCCAGTCACCATTTATCATGTCGGCAGCAGAATTACTTCAGCAGGCTGTGACACCACAGCATGGATGCTTTCCTGGAGTGGTCACACTTGCCTGTCTCCAGCCATCTTCCGCTCTTATCTCGGGTGACCCAGCTCCTCTTGACCCTGCTACTACATAGCACAGGGTGATACAGTAAATCAGAAAGCAATTCTCTGGTCCTTATGGCACCTGAGCGCAGCTGGCAGAGTTCAGTAGCTGTTACATGAGCAGGAGTTAAGAAATGTGGCCTTCCTTTCCCACCTGGGTAGCAACCAAAGCAGATTCTCCAAGGGCTAGAGAGTTCAAGGCATGCTGCTGGCCACTGTTCCCTCAGCAGCAGCATTTTATTCAGCCATTTCTTTTCCTAAACTTGGAAGAAATTTCTCCTCATCATTGAGAAAAGAGCCCTCCATGCAAAAGTTGTTAGGTACAAACAGAGACAGAGAGCACAATCACACAAATATTGTTTCTTAGGAAACCAGATTAAAAAAAGAAAAAGGAAAAAAAAGAGAAACCTACTGACAACCTACAATGCCATTGCTTCTGTCCAGGAGTAGCATAACAAATGTTCATCATAACCACTCTCCTTTGAAAGCTGATTTAGAGATTGACAATAGGAAGGAGACATGACCCCAGGCATCACAGAATCAAATTTCATCAGTCCAACAACTCCAAACTGGATCTCCACTTAGACACATTTGCCTTTGCTTTTTATTTAATGCTTTTTCACAGAGCTTGGCTTTTCTTCTTTTTTATTCCTAGTCACTGTCAAAGCAGCCATTAACCAGTTACATGATTTACTGCTATTTCTCTTCAGCCAGCTCCTGGACTGTTTTAGCATCTTGGAAAAGTGGAGGCCTCTCCATCATGACTTGCTCCCTTGGAAAATGCAAGCATGGGCACCTGGAAGGACTGGGAGACAGACTGTCTGCTTATGACTGCAGCTGGGGAAGGGGGGAAGCTCCCACTGCCTCAGCCAAAAGGGCAGCAAGCACATGAAACGTAGACCTCAGCATCACATCCCTTCAGCAGAAGTGCAGCCATCTGCCCTTTCCTCTCCCACACGCTGACACTCACTGCAATGAGACAGATGGACACTTCTGATGCTCTCACTCTGGTGCCATCTCTCCATCTGCTGTAGCACTCCACACACCCTCCAGGATCAGCTTCACAGTCCCAGGGTTGCTGCTGAGAGCTGGTTCAGTCCCTGCCTCAACCACCGCAACAGAAGGATCAGGATGAACCAAATAGTACATCCTCACAAGGGATAGGTGTCTGCAGTAAGGGGGTCTGCACAGCCCATCCCTCTTCAGGTAGCTGAAGCAGTGTCCAGGCATGGCAGCCATTCTCAGGCAGCAGTAGCATTAAAGTGTTTGCTTAGATTAGAAGAAGAAATTGAGATTAAGGGGGATTAACTAACACACACCAGGCTAACCTGGACACAGGCTTTCACTTTTGGCTTTGATTTGACCAGCTAAATCTACATCTGCAGAGCAAACCTCTCTGCAGAACAAAGCCATCCTGCTGCAAGGCACAGGAGGGAGGTCTCAGAAGGCAGCAGAGAAAGGGAGTCGTCGGATACAGCAGCTGCTCCAGTGTGGCAGGTGAGTCAGCTTGGAAAGCACAGGGATTGGAAAGAATTGTGGTTCCTTTGCTTGGCCAGCTTCAGGGAACCTTGTCCAGAGTTTTATCTCATCTCCTCCATCCTTCATTTCAAGACATTTCTGCAACTGCATGCCTGCTGGAAGCACAGAAGGCCTAATGAATCCTAACAGGCCTACAACTCCCACCTGACCTCTCCAACCGGACACATCACTTGTACATCCAAGAGTCAGGGAGGAAAAGCTAGCTGGGGAGTAACAGGGAATGAGCATGCTTTAAAACTACACAGCATATTCTTATTTCCCTTTGTGCCAAGATCAACAGCTCCATGCACTGGGACAGGGAGCAGCACAGGAGTCCAACTCATGCTCTGATGGGCCCATTTTCACCCACATGGCCAGTGAAAGCAGGCTCTCTCTCACAAATGCAGTACAGAACAGCAGCTGAAGCGCAGGGCCATATGCACGGGGCTGTCAAAGGCAATGGGGCTTGGGTTCAACAGCACTGCAACCATCCAGCTCTGCTCGGCACATACCCACCCTGGGATCCACCAGTAACTGCTTAAAGCTGTCTCCTGTTTCTTCAGGCCCAGACACACACAGTAAGGCAGTTCTCCTTTTGCCAGCTGCCCAGCTTCTGCTGTCAGCAGAGCAAAACTTTTCACAGGGCAAGCCCAGGGACATGAGCACATCTCCACAAGCAGATTTTGCAGGAATCCCAGCTGGGATGGTTATGATTCACCTGCTTCTGAAAGGGGAGGGACAGAGAAGGAGCCTTCAGCATAAGCAGCCTTTCTGAATCTAAACCTCTCCAAATTCTGGCTTCAGCTCAACGGAGGATTTAAAAGCCAAGGCTTGCCTTCTGCACTGCATCCTGCACCTCATGACCTGAAGGTGAGGTCCTGTTTGGTGTACGGTGAGGCATCCACAAGAGAGTACGATGCAGCAGAGCCAGGCACTGCCCAGTTGGGCCACACCATTCAGTATCTTTCTGATAAACACCCCCATTTCCTTACAAAACACACCTGCTCACCCCAGGCTGAGCTTCCAATGCACAGCAGGTGCTGAATACCACCACCCACATCCCTCTAATTTCAGGTGACCTGTTTCATAGCTAGAAAATGTCAAGATAAATCAGCAATATGCTTCTGCAGCCTGCCTCCGAGATCCTTGCCTGTTACATAAGGCAGCCCACCTGATTTCCCTCCCCTTCAGCCCCCCATGCAAGCTGCAGTGCAGGCAGCGGCGCACTGCTACTGCTCTGTGCCCAGCGGGGAGGTTTCAGTTCCTTGCATGCCACCTGAATCAGAAATGCATGTGCTACAAGCAGCAAGGCAGGGAGCACCTAGCTCTCCGGGGTGCAAAAAGGAAGTAGCAGTGGTGAGCAGAGGAGAGAAACACTTACATAGTACTTGTCATCGTTCTCGTTGTAGGCCAGTTTCACAACACCGTAGGAACCCTAAAAATAAAAATAAATTGCACAGTCAGTTCAGCAGCTTCATCTTGTCTCCTTGCTGCTCAAGGCTGGTAGACCATGGCATACACAGTGGGGGGTGGAAAAAAAAAAAACAAACCCCTTCAAGGCCCAGACCATGCCTAGCCCTGGGCAAAGTGATGTGACCCTGCAGCGAGGTGGTGTGTCTTAGCAGCTTTGTTGGAGCCATGGGGCATTTGAGGATTAGCAATGTGTGGAGGAGCTGAGTGTTAGCCCAGCACCTCCTGTCCTGAGCCAAAGACACTGTGTCTGTCTTAACCTAAACATGGGTAGGGAGTAGAAACAGCAATTTTCAAGCAGATTTTTTGAGCAAGTTTGGAAAATCCTCATGAACATCATTCCTATACTTCTGGGCAAGATGGTTTACAGCAGGAAGCCTCTCCATCTCTTGACAACAAACGGACTTCAGTGAAGACAAGCTGCCTGCTTTCGGCCAACCACATGTTGCCTAGGCAGATGCAGACCTGGACTGCTCCTGTACTCACAGCTCCAGTGACACCCTGAAGTCAAACTCTACCCAAACCATTGTTTTTACACTGTGCTGCATCAACACGATACACTTAATTCAAGCAAGACATAACACTATGGCTAGACATCATCCCTAACAGATGCCTGTTTAATAAGTTACTGCGATGAACACTACAGCTTTCAAAGTATTTCTCTTGGCTTCACCAAGAACTGGACTGAAGGTCCAGGTCTCGGAGAAGACCAACAAGCCATCTTGCTGATACAGAAGCACAGCAGGTCCAGCAGACCTTCTACCAGCTCAGGGTGCCTATCTGCTTGCTGTGACCTCCAGAGATGGAAGACGCAGGAGCAAACCCACCAGAGAAGGCCTCACACCCTCATTAAATCATACTTCAGTCAGTGACAGAAGCCATAACTGAGTCTGAAGCTGTGTATGAGTTTCCAAAGACATCTGCTGTACCATTAGCAGTGGTATCTCCAGCCTTACACCCTGACTTGCCAGCAGCCAAGCATGCAACCCACCATACACATGGGAAGGGAGCCTCCTCCCATGGCCCAAGGCCTCTTGTTTTGGGCTAATGAAGCTTTTGGTGAAGGTCACTGCAGCTCAGGGTGCAGTCCCTGCCAACTGCAGAGGTAGGTACAGCTTCTAGACAGCACCGTTGCTCGTGGACCATCTGCAGTGGTGGCAAATGCCCAAATGTGCAGGTGTCTGAACTACTCACCAGCCCAGACCTCTAAATAACTTTGGAGGAATCTCTTCTGAATCATTCTGCAGCTTTTAAACATGGACTAGGATTAAACTAGCATTTCGTTCATGGACATAAAAACTGAAACTAGTCCTGATGGGGACCAGACACCTGCCTCGATCCTTTTTTGGTTTACTTTCCTTGGGCTGTATTAATGCATCAAAGGCTCTTAGTGTTACATCTGGCAAGCAAACACCTTGGAATGGAGCCAGCTTAACCACCTTCAGAGGGAAGGAGAATAAATTTAGATTTCAGAGGAAGTAGCTGCACTTTGACCTTGAACAAAACTTGCTCAAGCTAATAAGGAAAATAAAACCCCCAACCAAACAAACAAAAACCCAAAACAAACAAAAAAACCCAAACCAAAAGTGCAAGGAGTCTTAGCCAGTAAGAGCTGGCACAGTCTTTTCACCTGTACTCATGTGTGCATGCAGGTCGCTTGTGACAAACACGAGCTCCGGTGTCCTACCTTGCCTATTTCGCTCTGCAGCTTGTACTGGTTTAACTGCACGCAGTCCTGCAGACAAGAAGAAGATAATTAGAGCAGTGGTAAAAGGAAGTGACTGAGCTTGAGTCAGTATCATGTAGAAGCAGAATGCTGAATAGTGACAGGCTAAGTCTTATTTAAACTGATACGTGTTACACTATAAGCACTGATTTAATTTATTTTAATGACAGCTCAGGACAAACAACCATAGGCTGAATTCTGGCTCTGGTTGTGCTTACATAACACCAGAGGCCCCTCTACCCCAATTCCCCAGCATCACTCCAGGTTCAGCCCAGTGACCCTGACAATAGCCTCTGGCCTCTCTACACTGACCATCCACATCAGACTGTGCTCAGTACCAAGCAGAAAAACACCCATTCTCAGCTGCATGTTGCTCTCACAGGCTAGCAGCTCCCAGCACCTCAGCAAATACACCAGTCCCAGGGTCACAACATGAGGCCATACCCACCCCAACATCAGCCTCTGCAGACTCTGTGTGAAGGCAGAGGCTGCACCAGAGGAACCCTCACCTGGACCACAGGCTGCTCTTTGAGGAGAGCACATGGAGCCAAGCTCCTCTGCAACACAACTCAAACAATATGGATTCCCTTCAGCTGACACAGTATTTGCCAAAATAAATCACCCCTAAGCAGGCCTGTTTGCAAGCTATCCAGCACCAAAACCCCCAGGGTGGGAGGGTGGTAGATGCAGACTCCCAGCAGGCTGTGACGAGGGTGCAGTGATGGAGCGCTGCGTTACTCGACAGGCTGGGAGCCACGCAGCGAGTGACAGCGGCCTAGCATATCAACTGCTGGAAGCGAGGGTGGAACAGAGGAGCCATGCAGTCATCTGACGCCAAAACCACCATTTGGTTTAGTATTGTACTGCCTAGTGGAAAACATTTCCTTTCACAGTGGCAGCAAAACCCCTCCATCCTCACTAGTTACAAGAAAATCCCAGATGCCACAGAAGCCTGGGGGGCTCAAGACCACAAGCACAGAGTGAGCACTATGCACTGCCTGCACTGAGCTCTCACCCAGGGGCCCTGTCTGGCTCTCCCACCATGCTAGGGCCCTCAGGACAGCACACCTCACTGCAATGCAAAGCTCCTGGCCAAGAGTCACAGTGCACTTGGGGGGATCTCTGCAGCATTGGCACCAGGGAGTGCGGGCTGCAGTGGCTTTTGCCTTGGTCCTGACTTAATACAACAACTGCGCTGCAGGTGAGGAGATGGCCCCAAACTCAGTGGGGTGAGGGAAAGGGGAGTTTCCAACCACAGCACATGGTGTGGGATGAGCCTTAGATGGATTACACTTCCCCAGACAGCATTTTTGAACACAATATTTCTCCCCAAGATTGCCAAGCACTAAAGCAGACTGGAAATTCACTTCTAGCCTCTACACTGGGCACTTCTTTGGGAACAAAGCTGATATGAAACACACAGGCTTCTGCTACCAATCAGCCTTTCCATAATCCTCAAAATAGCCCTGCAGTCTATTGCAGAAACAGTGCCAGGACAGCAAAGCAGCCTTCAGTCCATTTCTAAGAACTGGGGATGTCATGGCCCTGTCCCCATGAAACATCCTCACTGGAAGCAACACTCGTCAGTCTCTCAGGATGCATTAGGAGCACAAATTTGGTAGATGATAATTCTGACTTTTCCCTATCACCAACCAGAAGACACTCCTAACACAAGCAATCGTTACAGTGAAGGAGAATAAAAGAACGAGGAACTGCTGACTTTTTAAGCTTGTACATAGTGGCTTGTCAGGGATACAAGGAATGATTTAAATCTTGATCTTGTTTCCAGTGAGGAAAGATTTTTCCACCACCCTAACAGTGAGAAAGAGCCAAGTGTGAGTAATGGGGCCACAGAAGTGTATTAACACTGCTGCTAGCAAAACATGTATCTTTCCAGAGGCAAAAAACAATCTATCGGAACTAGGAGCAACAAGAGAGGAGAGATCATAACCCAGCAAAAGCCAAGATGTAAAGCACAAGACCACCAAAATATATCAAAAAGAAAAATCCCACTGAATTCTGTAGAAAGGACTCCCCTCCCTGAAGTGGGGGGCAGCACACAGGAACCCATGGTATGGACACATGGAGGACAAATTCTCCTGACAATCCCATGTCAGCAGATTCATTTCCCATCCCAAAGCTGTGTTTTGCATTGCAGTGATTTTCACAAATTAAGCAGGAACAGTTTCCTGTTGATGTCTCCTGCCCTGGGTTTCCCCATGCTTGGCTTTGCACCCCCCACCTTGTCCTGTGCAAAGCTGCAGTGCAGCAGAGATGGGGAAAAGCTCGCAGGAGGTGCTGAGACAGGCAGGAAAAGTGACCACCCCTCTGAGAAAGCCTCCAACCACCTCAGGATCTCCTGCTCTTCCAAGCAGCAAGCTTGCAATGCCCCGGTCCTGTTAAGAGGCCTCCTCTCCTAAGCAGAGATTACTTGCACAAGTAGCCAGCCACTGACATGTGAACATATTCTCTTTGATCTGCACTTGCTATCTTGTTTCAAGACAGGGTACCTTCTCTGAAACAGTTTGCAGCTTCTCTTTGGAAACACACTGTCCAGGAAATCACAGTGGTATTTTTTCCCCTCCCTCCTGAAGGGGCTGAATCCGTCACGTGGGATTTTGCAGGATTTTGCATTCAGCTGGGCAAAGTCCCTTACAGAGCATTTATATTTAGTGGAACCAAGGAGGGACTAAGCCCGTTCCCTGTGCTCAAGGCACCAATTCCTTTGAACCTGGCCAACACCATCTCACTATCTCTCTTGCCTCTCCGATTAGAAATTACCATTCCACACCAAACCGATCACCTGAAACATCTCTGGTCTTTCACTGCTGCTAAACGGAGCTTGCAAGCGATGCCAGGACACTTGCCTTTGGGGATGTTTTTTCAAAAGGAATGGATAAATACTGCAATGGCAATTTCACCCAGAGAGGTCTGAGGGAAAGGCAACGATAAGGTTTGCAACACAGCCGCCAAGAATTTACACTCGCCATCGCTGCACCCCTACCCAATCCACACCTCCATCATTCTCCACTCCGCAAGAAGCACTGTCATCTTAGCTCCTGCCATGCTTTGAGTGCTTGAGCTGAAGGCAGCAAAAATCAAACCAGATTACAGGTGCTTTCTACTTTTTTTTTGTTCCCCACCCTGCAGAAAGACCACAATTCACAGCTCAAGTGACTCTCCCCCATGTCCCTGCAGACTGGCAGGGTGGTGGTGATGTTATTCTCCTGCAGGAAGCAGAATAATTGTACTGTTCTTTTATCAGAGTGAAACACCTATCTCTGGGCCGAGTGCTTCTTACAGATAACACTGTACAATCCTCTTGATTCCATCATGCCAATGTATTTGCAACTGCTGATAAATACAAACAGAGCAAGAACCTTAATGAGATCCTTTAATGAAAAGCTATCAGCAAATTAGACTGCTGTGTCCACCCAAGTGTGCAGTATTTGTTTCGCCTTAAAAAACAAGATGCCCCATTTGTTAACGTGTCCAAGGTATTACTCAAAGAGGAGGGTGGTGTGTGAATCAATGCCACAGTAAAAAACTGATCAAAAATCATAAAGCACAGCGAAGCCCAGAGTCCAGCCCTGATTCAATAAATCCACTGCTACCACCGTGTGACAGAAACCCCAAGAAATTGAGAATTGGGCCTTTTCTGTCCAGGGAACACCAGGATGGGAAAGAAGAGACAGAGTTGGTTTCCAGAGTAAGACATTTCTGAAAACAGACTATCTACATACTTACATATATAATGAAGATTTTCCCCACCAAAAAAGAAGCCAAATTCACCAATCTGAAAAGAATTGCAAGCTTCAGAATTCAGAGAAGCAACTTTAAAGAGAAACATGGGAAAGAAAATTGGGAACTAAAAGACAGGCAGTGAAGATAGCGCTGGTTTAAACTTATCCCTGCTGGAAGAAGTGAAAGCAGTTCCAAGAACAGAAAAAATTAAAATAAAAGCCAGAAAAGGAATATCAGGGGTAGCAACGAACATAACTTAGACAGTTGTCTAGGGACAGAGAAGGACACACAGTATGCCCAGAGCTCACAGAGGGAAGAAAACCAGATTTTTAAACAACATCCAAAACCAAGTGCAAAACTTGAAGCCCAGCACGACTGGCCACTGGCAGGAGCGCTGGCCATGGCTGGGCAGAAAGAGCAACACTGAGGCACAGTAACGTGGTCTGGGCTCACCCATCTGAGACCCTAAAGCTGGATGCAGGAGCTTGGGCACTTGCCACATCACTGGGACAGAAGAAAGAGGGCTGGGACCAGCAGGACAAAGGCAACCCTGTTCCAGCCCCACTGCAACTGTGGCTGTGGGCTTTCCTCTTCTCTCAACCCTGCCTGTAGACAAGCTGGAAATGTAACTTTTATTTAAAGTTAATTAATCCAAGGAAAAGAATTTAGCAATGCCTGTTGGGGATTCTTCTTTGAAGAAATGTTTTCTACATATCTTTGATCTTCTCAAGAGAGCTCTAGTTTGAGCACTGCAGTAAGACCTCTAGAAGAAATTCATTTGAGGGACTTGAGGGGCTGGAAGGGGAAATGCTCCAGTCCACACTGCACAGGAGCTTGGTCCTCATTGCTGCCCTGGTCCCACCTGGGTTTACTTTTGTGCACAGTAAGGAAATTACAACCTCAGCGGAAAAAAACCTGGCAGCTCCACAAGACTAGATGAGCATCAGACCTGGATGAGCCCGGCACCAAAGCTCTCAATACCAGCTGCTTCAAACCAGTTGGCCAAAGAACAGGAGGCCTATAATAAAGTTGTGGAAAGCCAAGGAAAGAAAAGAACAAAGCAGCAATTTACTTTCCATGCCACAGAGATAAGCCATGGACATCAAGCTCAGGTAAATTCCCTTTGTCAGCTTGTCCTCCTTGCATGCTCAGGCCAGCAGCAGCACTAAGGAGGGAGAACATCCTGGCCCGACTCATCCTCTCCACTCCTGCTAACGCACGCACAGCCCCAGCTGTGCAGGGCTGATGTGCAGGGCTGCTCAGGC